ATTACACTGAAACAATACAAGGGAATTCTGATCTGCCCTCCCCTGATGTCCACGACTTCCACCAACCCCCGAACCCCAGTTTTTACCCAGCCTGCAGAATCACCTTCCCCTGCTGGCTTGGGCAATCCTGGGATGCAAAAGTTCTTGGAAATAGAGCGTGAGACTGAGGCTGCATCTGCTTGGCTGGATAGATAGGTAGTTGGGCCCAGGAATGGAAGACCAAGGTAAATGCAGGGCAAGATGACAGTACTTAGCAGCAGTTAATTTTATACAACTCCATTTTTAGCTAATAAAGGGATAATATTTCTGGATGTTCCAAATGTTTTTAAATTGTATTCTCTATGATTGGGTAGAAATTTGTATGTGCATGTGTATATAAGTAAACATGTTAATTGTGTTGCTCAAAAGTTCTCCATCAGGAGTTAGCAAACTATGATAAAGGCCAAATTCAGCTGGCAACTTCTTTTTGTAAGTAAAGTGTGTTGGAAAGCAGCCACGGTCACTCATTTATGTATTTATGTCTATGTTTCTTTTGTTCTGCCACAGCAGAGTTTGCCTCCCCTACTCTGTTTACCTAATCTGTTAAGTCCTGAGAAGACTGTCAAAACCTGAGAAGGGATTATAATTTTCTCAACTTCCCTGAACAAAAAATATTGAAATTTATATGAAACCACAAAAGGCTTCAAATTGCAAAAACAACATAAAAAAAATTGGAGAGAAAAGGAGATGTTACATAACCTAACTTCAAATTTTAATATAAAGCAGCAGTATTAAAAACAATATGGTATTGGGGCCTCCCTGGTGGCGCAAGGAGTTAAGACGCAACCTATGGGGCTGTCTGCATGCAGCCTCTGCAGCATGAGTTTGATCCCCACAGCCAGCCAGGGGGCAACCCACGTGGCACAGCAGACCTCTCCTGACTCGCCCGCAGCTCCCCTCAGCAGTGTGCTTTGGTCGATCTGCCTGTTCTGTTTCCTGCTCTGTCTCTGGTGAATCCTCTCACCCCGCATGCCTCTGACCTGTACCCCAGCTCTTGTATGTATAAATAAATCTTTAAAAATAAAAATAAATAAATAAATAAAAACAATACTGTGTTGGCACAAAAGTAAATTACATGGACCAATGGAACAGAATTGAAAGCCCAGAAATAAATCCATGGGCATACCGGCAGCTCATCTATGATAGAGTTTCTATGATCATAAGGCACAGGAGAGACAATCTCTTTAATAAGTAGTGTTGGTAAAATTGGAAAACCACACATACAGGATGAAGTTGCTAGCACCATACATAAGAAAAAATTCCAAATGGAATAAAGATGTATTTATAAGACCTGCAACAATAAAATACATAGAAGAAAACATTGATAAGATGTTCCATGATGTCAACAGTAAAGATATTTTTGGTGACTCAACCCATATGGTAAGGAAATCAAAAATCAAAAATAAATAATTGAGATTACCTCAAGTTAAAAGTTTCTATACAGTAAATGAAAATACAAAATGGGGCCTCCCTGATGACGCAAGGGGTTAAGACGCAACCTCTGAAGCAATCTGCAGCCACTGAAGCAAGAGTTCAATCCCCGGCCAGGGAGCTACCCACATGGCACATTAGACCTCTTCTGACTCTCCCACTACTCCCCTCAGCAATGTATTTCAGTCAGTCTGCCTGTTCTGCTCCCCACTCTGTCTCTGGTGGGTCCTCTCACCCCCCACGCCTCTGGCCTATACCCCAGTTCTTATATGCATAAATAAATAAATCTTTAAAAAAAAGAAAATACAAAATGATGAAATAGACACCCTGCTGAATTTTTACACAATATATAACCGATAAGGAATTAATATCCAAGACATATTAAAAATTCATACAATTCAACAATAAAAAGAAACAAATAACCCAGTAACAGGCAACAGATATAAATAGACGATTCACCAAAGGGGATATCCAAAGGGCCAAAAGACATATGAACAAATGTTCACTATCACTTCTAATAAGAAAGATGCAGAATAAAACTACCAGATTTCATCTCACGCCTATGACAATGATGCATTAAAAAGTCCCCAAAAACAAGTATTGGAGAAGATTTAGAGGAAAAGGAACGCTGTCACAATGTTGGTAGGAACATGACCTGGTATAGCCATTGTGAAAGCAATCTGGATTTACCTTTAAAATCTACCAAAGGAATTACTCTATGACCTGGCAATCCCACTCTCTCCCATGTATACACAGAATCTGAAAACATCAACAAAAACACCCATATGTTCCACAAAATTCATAGCAGCAATATTTTTAATAACTTAGACATGAAAGCAACCTCAGTGGCCATCAACTATGTATGATGGGATCAAGAAGATGTAGTGTGTCCACACGTGGAGTATAGCCATAAGAAAGGATGCAACGCAATATTTTTCAACAAAATAGAAGGACAAAGACAAATGTGTGCAGCAAAGTAAGTCAAAATGATAAAAAGAAATACTGGATATTACAGAGCAGACAATTCTATAACATAAAACACTCAAAAGCTAGAGGATATAAATAAACATCTTGAGGACTCTGAGATTAAGAGCCTGTGGAGGGAAAGGAATGAGGGACAACAATGATGGTGGAGAGGAGTATGGAATTTCCATTTATCTCTTTCAGTTTTTACTTTATATAATTATATATACACCTAGCCATTCTTAAGTTAATGCACTTTGGATAATCTTTACCTTTTTGTGACTAAACGTAATACTCACATCATAGGAACAAGTAAGAGACAGGAAAATTAGAGACCCCTGGCTGCACTGAGTCTCCAAGGAGAGAAAGGGAAAACAGGAGGGGTAAGAAAATGAGGTCACCGAACAGTGATATCACAAGAACTCACAGAGACCCAGGGAATCTGAGACCCAGGAATCATTATGTGAACCAGAACTCTCCCTGTCATGCAGGGGAATTCATGGGGGCAAACGGTTAACAGGAAGGATTAACATCAGGGATTCATCACCCACTCTACCATGCCCCAGGGATCCCCAGACTGCTCTGACATATTTTCCTCCACCTGGACCAGCATTTCTGCACCAGGGAGGGGCCCAGCAGAGCCCAGGCAGCACCTGCTGGGGCCCAGACTGTTTTGCATAGAGGGAGGAAGGATGGTGAAGACTTACAGGAAGATAATAGTCATGGGCAGGGAGGACCCTCGCCCAAAGCCCTGCTGCAGATGGATTCCACAGCCGTCACCACCACTGACACTAGACAGCGGGGTGACTGGTTGTCTCAAGTGCCCCTGATGTTGCAAGGTCAACTTCAAGTATCAGGGCAGGGTTAGATCCCTATCACCCTCACCAGCCCGTGACAGTGCTGAGCCCACCCTTCGCCCTCTCTGTGACCCTCATCTGTCACGGTAGGACACCAGCCACATCTCCCTCAGGGCTCCCAGGAAGACCCCATGTGAAGATGGCAGTGAGGTGACCCTCACCCCTCCCTGAACTGGGAGTTCCCAGAGGACAGAACCAGCTCCAAACCAAGAGGTTTAGTTGAGGGCTCAAGGTTTGAACCAGGATTGTCCAGGATCCTAGCCCACCTGGTTGGCTGCCAGGTGTACCAATACAGGGCTTTGCTTAACCTCTCAGCACCTCCATACCCCTGAATGAGGGAGATAGATGCAACTCATAGAGCAGGCAGGATTGAGGAGGAGGCAGGACAAAAGGTGTCCTGTCTGACACACTCAGGGCTCTCCCGGACAGGGGGCTGTGGTTGATCAGCCCAGTGAGGGGGAAGACTGGGGGAGTGAAAGAACACCCGCCCCGCTGCACCTCCCTGAGGCCACACTTCCATCCTCCCTGACCCCAGACACCCAGTCTTCCCTGCCCTCCTCCCTGCCCTGGGTGACACATCCAGGGTCGCCCACTGCAGATCACTTGGGAAGGACAAGGCTCAGGGAAGACTCAGAGGAGGACCACAGGCCTGGAATTGTGTGGGAAAAGCTGACACTCCCTCCTAGGTGTGTCCCCACCCTGTGGGGTAATGCAGGAAGCAGACAGCATCCTTGCCCTGGGCTCCCAGCCCCTGGAAAGAGCCAGCCTGAGCATTATAAAGGGCCCAGGCTCTGCCCAGCTGTACATCTCACCGCACGTTCCCTGCCACAGCCGCTTCTTCCTCAGCTCTGGTGAGTCTGCGCTGCCTCTGTCTTTTCTAGCGGGAGGGCCAGGCCCAGCAGCTCTGCTGCCTTAGGAGCTGGGACAGCAGCCATGGGACAGGGCTCTGGAGCTTGGTCCCTCACAGGCCTGCCCCCTCCAGGCTGCTGATTTTACCCCAGCTGAGGTCCTCACCAGATGACTGGACCAGGGACACCCATTACTCCTTTTGGCTCCTTTGACAACTAAGGGCAAGTCCTACCCAGTGGGGTAGCCTGGCAGGTCTCCAGAATCAGGCCAGGGCTGGTTTCTCTGCTCACACTCACCAGCACCCCACAGGATCCTCCAGGAGCACCAGAGCTCAGTGCAAGCACAGGGGCTTCCTGGTCCTCGTGGGGCCCGGGCCCAGGCCCAGGCCTGTCCCCACCAGCTCGCCCTGGGGATGCAGAACCAGCATGGAAAGAACACTGAGGGGTCTGATGCCTCTAACTCTGACATTGAAGCTGAAGGATATGGATTTGATGTCTTGAAATGTGGGGATTCCTGATGCTATCTCCCTCGGGGTCCCAACTCAGGAGTTGCCCTTTTAGGGACGAGAAGTCACCCTTGGCCACATAAATCATCTCTCTTCTGCATCCTCTCAGCCCTGCCCCCAGTGGACTCTGCTGTTCTCCTTCATCCCCTCTGCACCCTGGTCTGAGTGACAGGGGTTCAACCTGGGCCCCACACTTTCCCTCTGAGCAACTAAACTCAATAACACAGAATGCAGGCTTTTCCTGCTCCCCCGAACCACCACCTCAGCACCCAGGCCATAGTCTTAACTAGAGACCCTGCTGTGGGGGAGGATTAAAAGATCCTTTTCTGTCTCTGGCAGCTTTTGTGACAGACGCCATGGGCAGCACTCCAGCTGAGAAGGCCATCCAGGGCACCATCGACCTGTTTCACAAATACAGTGGAGAAAAGGACACAATTGACAAGCCAGGCCTGATGAAGTTGATGACGGAGAATTTCCCCACCTTCCTGGCTGCCTGTGTGAGTCGGGGTCTGCTTCTTAATGTTGCTGGGGTCTTGCTCTGGCTGAGGACACACAGGCTGTGTGACCTTGCACAATCACTTTCATTCTCTGATGCTCCAGTTTTTTCTCTGCAAAAGTGCCTAGAATGACTCTCTATCCCAGGTTATTATCAGGCTGCAGAGAGATGAATTATGCGGCCAAGGGTGAAAAAGTATGGAGAGGTGTCAGCAGAGGTTATGGCCAGCACAGTGAACAGGTTCCCTGTCCCCAGTCCCAGGCCCTCCTGAGCCCAGCCTCCAGAGGCCGCATCCATGTCCTCAAAGCACTAGAAATCCCATTGCTGAGAGAGCTAGACACGCCTCTGTCCATGCACATGTCCATGCTCACCCACAGCCTGATTTCTTCTGACCATCAACTGTCCTGAACTACTCAGCAAAGGGACCCTGAGGGGCTGCTAGTGACACAGACACCAGGGAAGTAAGAGGGGCCAATGAGGGCCAGTAGGACTCGGGCAGTACCTACAGAAGATGGAGTGAAGGGTTAGGATGAAGATGGCCAGACAGGCCAGTTTGAGTGCGGGGAGAATTCAGCAGGTGGTAGGATTACAGGGAAGGACAGGGGTCGGGGCCGTGAACACCAACAGCATTTTTGGCGCTAGATTCCGGTCAGAGCCCAATCACCATCCAAGGGCTACTGTTCCCACTGACATTTCGCCAAGCTCTTCCCTCGAGGCCTGTGGGTAACATGATGTCCTCCGTCCTCAGTCACCCTGGCCACACCTGTGCTGCGCATGTGCAGGCAGTTGTCGCTGCCTCCTCCTCTCCACTGCCAGCCACAGCTCCAGCAGGACTGACATTCTCTTGTTTTACATCTCTCCCCACAGGACAAAAAGGGCACCGATTACCTGGCCAATGTCTTTGAGAAAAAGGACCAGAATAAAGACAGCAAGATCGAGTTCTCTGAGTTTCTCTCCTTGTTGGGGGACTTAGCCATAGACTACCACAAACAGAGCCATGGAGGTGAGGCCTGCTCAGGGAGGAACCAGTAACCCTGCCTCCTCTAGACCTCCAGCGACCTCCCCAAAACAATAAAGTGTCTCTTCTCACCAGAAACTGGTCCATTCCTGTCTTTCCTTGGCTGCCGCTGTGGTCAAACTACCTTTCTTGCCAACACTGATGTAGACACCCCAGTGGGTTTACTGGGAGCGTGCCAGCAGTGTGCCCTCCCATGAATCAGATCACTCACCCCTTGTGGCAGGCCTATGACCCCTGCCCTGGCCCTGAACACAGCCACATTGCCGGGCCCGTGGTGGGGTTGGGGGGAGCCTCTGCCAGGGTCCAGCCATGCATTTTCTCCAAACTTGTAGATCGGGATCTTGTGATTACAGATGATAGGAGAGCGGGGCCTAGGGCTCCACACCACACTTCAGGCCATCTGGCTATGCCCCCGCATCTCCAAGGGCAGAGGAGACTGGCATCACTCAAGCAGGCCTCTTAGAGTACCCGCAACACAAGGCAATCAGCACGGTTAGGAGATTTGGAGGTGCTCACAGCACCCTGACCACCATAATCCCCATTCTGGGCCCTGGCAGTGCTGTGGCTTGCAGCCTGGGTGGGGGGTCCAGGTGGAAGTGGGTGGTCACCCTGTGTGCTGAGCTCACCCTCAGGAGTGGCCTGTTAAATGCCTGTAGCTGGGCATTTAGAGAGCCCACAGTGGTGGGTCTCAGGTCTAAGGATCTAGAGCAATTCTGGGTACAGACAACCTACTGAGAAAAGCCCAGGGGAACACTCACTTGAGAATGAGAAGCAAACCCCACTGAGCGTCACAGGTCATAGCCCCTCCAATTACCTCAGGAAGGACATGTCATTCCCCAGGCTTTTTGAGGCCACCAAGGGCATGGGGGCTGAGGCTTTAGAAGCCTGTGGGACACAGGGCCCCTCACAGACACTGACTCCCCCAGGTATGGATCTCTGCACGGTGCCATCAGGCAGGTGCTGACCAGGAGGGACAGCACCACATCCTGTGTCAGTGCTACACTGTGTCCCCTCAGCTTCCTCAGGACTCCCTTCTGGAGGCTCATACATCAGCCAGTCACACCCCACCCCCAGCCCTGTCACCTACTAACCCTTCCTCAGCAGACATTCTTGTTGTCCCTATGGTGACCACACCTGAGGGAATAAATCACGCACTGTGCAAAGTGAACAATGATGTGAGGAAAAAATAGTATGTTTAAAAACTTATATAATAAAATAAGAAATAAGCAGGAGGAGGAAAAATACTCTCTGATAAGTTCATTCAAATGTGATATAAAGAGAAACAAAAAAAGGAACAGACTAAGTTAAACCAAAACAGGTCCTGGAAATCTGACTGAAAGCATTGAGGCTGCCGGTGAGAATGTGGGCTTGGGAAGCAAAAGTGGGGTGGGAGTACAGTGGAATAAAGTGGAGGATTATGGGTGATTTGGTGCTGAGCCTGGAGTGGTAATGTACATCTGAAGAGGTTGAACCTATACCCCTAAATCATCATTACACACCAATGTTGCCATTAAATTTAAAAATAGATCCCCTGGATGGGACATGGGCCACAGGGACACAGCATCTATGACATCTCATGACCTCACATGCTCTGGACACATTTGCCCAAACCCAGAGTGGTAGGGTCTCCCCATGGCTACACCGGTACCATCTACATCCACTCATTGGCGCTGCTCTTCAGAGGTGGATAAGGGGGTGAGAGGAACAGCTTGATCTCAAAACTCCTTCTCTTGTCCACATGGGAAAATTCTATTTTCCATGAATTTAGAGTAAAAAAAAAAAGTAATAAGCCAGTACATAAAATAAAGTTTAAAATAGGAAAGATAATAAGAGAAATAGATTTGAAGTAAACACATTAAGTTTGAGAGACCTGTCTCACATCCAAATAAAGATATAGTCAGTTGGGCACAATAATCTGAAGTTCTGGGAGAGGCTGTGCATGAAATTATTGCTGTTATTTACACCCATGCGAGTAAATGAACATCCCAAGGAAGTCGGTCTTGATAGACGTAAAAAGAGGTTCAGGAACTGAGATCTGTGACAATTCCAACATTGAACCAGCTAATTGGACCAAGAGCTAAGGAAAAACAGTCAGTGTTCTGGAAATCAAGTCAATAAAGTATATCAAAGAGGGGAAATGATCCATCGGTTCTAATGCTGCCTGTATGGGAGTCAGACGAGGACTGACAACTGCAAGAGGGTACAGCAATTGAAGGTCATTGGTGATTTTTGAGAGAACAGCTTCAGTAGCAGCAGGCAAAATCCTGATGAGGGGAAAATTAAGAGAGAAGGAAACATAGCTATAGGTACAGCAGAGAATTGAGAAGATAGCAGAGGATAGTCAAGTCAAGTTACGTTTTCTTTAAAAAATGAGAGGAAGCATGGTATGTTTGCTTACTTATAGGACAGGCCCTGAAAGGAGAAAAAGAGTGATGGCGCATGAGGAAAAGGGGAGGCTCTCTGAACTGTTTGAAAAGAGGAAAAGAATGACCACTAGTATTCAGTGGGGGGGACGAGCCTTTGCCAGGAACCCGAGGAGGTCACAAAAGCAAGAAGAAGGCACTAGGAGACTTGACAATGGTAAGAGGGTTGATGATTAGTGGAAACAGGCAGACATTCTCTTGCGTGTGCTTTTATTTTCTCAGGAGAAGATGAAAGTGGCAAGAAATATGGCAGTCTTGAGGAAATAGGAAAATAATGAAGTAGTCACTATGACGATAGGACGAGATGATGTTGTGCAGTTGGTGAGGAATACTCAAAGCGCCCTTGACATTACCGATCATGAATTTGAAGTGTGACCAGCCAGCAAGGAAAGCAGTTTTCTCCAGACATGCCCAAGAACACAAGTGTAAGTTTCAAGAAGCAGATTGGGTTCCAACAGTTGGGTTCCAAGTGTTGCAAATGATCATTAATTGCTGATAAACTGGAAGGGAAATAAAACAGATAGCCCAGCATTGTGTACTCGTGCTGGAAGGAGACAGCCCCACTTATGAAGTAATTGCATCTCAAAACCTGAGCCTTCATTATTTCTCAGGCTCTAGGTCTAACTACCAATTTACAGGTCAAAGGGGCTGGGAGCATGTCAATTGAGCTCACATGGGTGCAGTAAAATTCAGCCCTGGGGAAGCCTGACAGGACAAATTACCCAGTTTATTAACAAGAAATTGAAAGGGAAGAAAAAGGAGCAGGGGAAACAGGTCAGAGGAATGTAGGAGAAAGAGGAGGCATGGAGGTAGAATCCTCAGATGAAAAGTCATAAGTGTCTTAACCAACCAATTGCAATGTGAGTGTGTATCTTATTAGGTCCCAATTCAAACCAATGTGGTAAACAGGAAATCCTAAAACAATTAGGGAAATGTAGACAATGGCTGAATATTTGATGATATCAAGTAATACAATTAATGATTTTCGGTGTGGTGACAGTATGTGGATGTTGGGTGGCTTAGGTTGTTCTTATCCGTTGGAAATATAAACAAAAAGTTACTGATGAAAGTTGTCTGGAATTTGGGCCTCCCTGGTGGCACAAGGGGTTAAGACGCAAACTATGAAGCTGTCTGCAGCCTCTGAAGTCCAAGTTCGATCCCTGGCCAGCCAGGGAACTACACACATGGTGCAGCAGACCTCTCCTGTCTCACCCACTACTCCCCTCAGCAGTGTATTTCAGTAGATCTCCCTGTTCTGCTCCCCACTCTGTCTCTGGTGAATACTCTTATCCCCCACACACCTCTGGCCTGTACTCCAGATCTTGTATGCCTAAATAAACAAATCCAAGGTATCTAAGACTCAGTGAGCAGGTAGTTGTTAATGAATCTGTAACAACATAAGCAAATACCACTGCTGTGCAGGAAACTTGATTATATACCCCCACCCTGTGCAGTGTACACACCCCTGGATTGGCGGTGCCCAGAAGGCAGAGAAGTGAAGGAAGCTGTGTAGGAGCCTCTACATGAGCTGGATTCCTCAGGCCAACAGGCTCATGGGTCCCACCCACTCCTGCTCCTTTCCCCGCCAACCCCGTTGTACTCTAATTACACCTGCTGACAGGAAGGTGGGGAGTTCTTCATCATCTGTTCCATGTCTCACTTGTCTGAGGCACTCGATCTGGGACGTCTTTGTGAAATACGCTGAGCAAACCCATCAATCCTCTCAGCTTCACTGTTATTCATCTTTGCTTCCAAGCACCAGCAGGAAGGAAAGATGGTCACCTGACTTGACTTTACAGGCTCTGAGAGCCCCACCAGTCTGGTAGCCTAAGTTCCTCACCCTTTCCCTGTCTGGCCCTGTTCTGCTCCTGTTTACCTTTCTTTGCAGACAAAACCAGAAAACCGGGCAGAACCAGCTGAAAACAAAATGGAGGCAGAAATAAGACAAGGGTTAAACCATAACCTCATCACCATCGCGAAAAGCAGGTCCACCAGCACCATGACATTTCTGGTCAGCCAAGCTCAGAGGAAAGCAGGACATAAATGCAGTTCTCGGGAAACCCGCCGATTTCGCTGAAATCCTGCTGATGCAGAACCTATGCCCGCTCCCCTTCCTCAGTGCTCCCCATTAGTAGTTAGTCCCTGCTTCTCGGCAATGCAGGGAGATGTCCTGTGACAGCAGTCACCAGTATTCTCAGGCTGGAGAACTTGATTCACCTGATTTCTTTCCCATGCTTACCTCTTCAGTTTTGCCTTATGAGCCCAAGTAACGCCGGTGACAAGTACAGGGAGCAGGTTGAGGGGAACCTGGCCAGGCTGGCAGTGGTGCAAGGGACATGGGTTGTGTCCCACCCTGTGGGGCAAGGGGTTGTGAAGTTCAGAGGAAGGAATAAAGGTTTGGGGGGAGGGGAGAAGGCTGGGGGTCGGGACACCTGGAATGGGATATGTGCAGCGAGCAGAGAGCAGGGTGGGCTGTGAGTAGGAGAAATGGAACCTGGTCCATCTGAGGAACCCCATTCAAGGTGCTGGGAGAGAGGAGTGTCAGCCTTTAGCTCTATGATCACTGAAACCAGGTAGGAGCTCTCCCTAGCTAACACTGCCAAGAAGAAAGGCATAATAACTCCCTCATTTTCCAGAGCTCCA